AACAACTGACGGTTGATATCATCATAAATCATATTTACGTTATTGACAGACCACATAAGGGCAGATGACTAGTAGAGGTTAATACACAGGACTGTCAGGAGTTGTATCCACGTAGGAATGTCTACTTTTTACAGGGAGGGCAAAGAATTTAAATACAGAGACTTGGGATTGTTACGCAGGATGAGTCCAAACAAGACAGTGGTTTGATTTAATCCATGTTTTTCTCTTTTTCTGATGTTTCGAACCCGACTTCGCCGGCTTGACTGGTGAGACTAAGGCTCGCTGCAGACGGCGAGACTGTACGACAAAGCGGGGCTGCGAAGAACCGAGAAAATCTTCCCTGTTGGTGATGCATTTACCTAAGTTGAACGCTTTGCTTTGAAGAAAAAAAAAGATGCAAAAGCTTTATGAGTTTTTTTCTCACCCAGGCTGTACAAAATAAAACACTATTCCAATTTGGAAAACATCACAGTAACTTACCAATTTGGTAAAGAATGTTTCCAGTTTGGAATTTAAGAAATAGCTTCACTTGCTGGACTAAGCTGAGAGGGTGCAGCTTCCATGCGCACGGTTGTACTTTATCAGAAAAAGCTCTAAGTCAGACAGCAGGAGGTAAATCTGCACAAGTGGGGCGCCCGCCTTAAGCCTCGTAATGATAAACGTCATCTAATGCCGTACACTGACTGAACATACTTCCACACAGAGGACAACACTTAAGACTTGTGAGGAGTGGGAAGATGAAGCAAGAACGTAACACCCTGTTAATCATCTTGATGCCAAGAGAAACTAAAGCAGGCGTCTGGTTAGCAGTAAGGTTCATCTGCGTCTGCAAACTGGATGGGCTGAGATTCACAGTCCACATCAAAGGGTTTCTCCTGCGACGGGCTGTCGCCTCCGTAGCTGTGGGAGGGGATCCGACCGTTGCCGCACTCTGGCTCGGTCTCATACCCTGTGTCGCGGAGTGCCCGCAGATGTGTGGTTTGGCTGCCGTTCTGCGTCGGCTGCTCCGTCATGTTAATTTTGTCCGTCGCGGATGCTTCCATCAGACCTGCTTCACAGGCCCGGTACTCGGGCTGACTGGCGCTCTTTTTGCTGCCCAGCAGAGCAGCTCGCATACGCAGGCAGGGAGCAGGAAGGTACTGCATGTAGCAGTTGTAGGCCAGCGCAGCCAGGAAGAGGAGGAAAAACAGGAGGAAGAGGAAGAGGAGGGCGATGCTGTTGTTGTGCTGGAGATACTCGGCCGCCGGGTCCCGGTTGTCCGGGCGGGGGCCGTTGGAGCTTGAGGGAAGAGCTTCCAGCTTCGGCTGGAGTTTGATTGTGCTGCTAGGCGGCGGGGTTAGTGATGAGTCAGTTTGGGGCGGGGATGTGAAGAGGGCCGAAGCTGGGAAGGTTGGGGGGGCAAGGGCTGAAGTTAGTGGGGCTCTGTCTGTCTCATCATTACCTTCAGCGGCGTGCGTGCTAGGTGTCTCCTTGCTGGCAAGGGTGGTGGTGCGGTGGCCCGCCTGGTGTGGGGCTCTTGTCGGGAGATCCAGAGTAAGGACGTATCCAGCCACGAGGCGGCTGAAGTTCTTCCCGGCAGCGGCGGCCCATTCCACGGACCAACACTCATAATGACCTTGATCCTCTGGTGCCACGCTGTAAATGAGGAGACCATTTTCACCTATGAGGTGAAAGCGAGAGGCTTCGGTGAGAACTGAGCTGTTGGATTTCCACATCACATGGGCCAGGTTGGATTGTACCAGGCAGGGCAGCTCGACTGAGCTCCCCGGTTTGACCTTCACTTGCTGGTAGTCCTTCAGAGACAGACCTGACACTACAAAACAAAACAAGAGAGAGAATAATGAGTTTTGCATAAAGTCTAATGAAGTATGAGGTTTTGTCTTCTGTTAAAAACAGACGATGATGATGAGAAAACAATCAGACAACATGCTTTTACACTGATTGATTTCTGCCTGTTCTTAACCTGCCTATTTGGAATGGGCTGTTTGATCAGCCTGTGATTATGCTGGTTGCAGTTCTTTCTGAAACTGTAAAAGTGACCTGCGGAGAAATTCACTGTTGTCACTAAACTCCACTAATGCAGCTTTAGGAATAAAAACATTCTTAACTTTAAAACATTTAGTGCATCAGACTGATGAATGATTTACATGGTGGGTTCTTGATTGGATGTCATCCCATGTAATAAAACTTTTTTATTGTGTAGTATATGAGCATGTTGCAGCCTACCTGAAGGACACTTGTCTGCGTCACCATTCAGGCTCTGGATCAGCTTCCTGAAAGAACAATAAACGTTATTATTTTCATGAGCTTTAAACTATGCACCCAACCTGAAACGAATAAATATCTCATGTGAGGCTGTAACGCAGCTCAGACTGGATGGAGCATAAGCAAAGTTGGCACTCGATACTGGTTTTGCTTCAGTTAACCAATGTAACAATGCATGAGTGGAGAACAAATCTTGAAGCTTAATGGTGAGTTACCCTTGCTGTAGGCTAGGAGCATCTAAGATGTTGACACAGGCGGCGGTGTGACGGTCCCAGGCGCAGTATGGGTCTCGTGCCAGGATACAGACATCACAGGACGGATACCTGCCACAGAACGCTGTGGGGGACTGGACCACGCCAGAGTCCGAACCCGCGTACAGGGATCGTGTCTGTGGACACAGAAGATCGTTCACTATAACATACTGAAGAACACAAATTGGTAAAAATACAATTAACAAAGAAGTCTGGAAAGGCCTCAAAAGGATGAACACTTAAAGACACAGAAGACAATTCCGCATATACTTTGAAAAGGGAAATCATCACAATTTTCTGCAAAAGTTGAAACCTAAATGCGAGACAACCACAAACACACGCTATCAGAATAATAACGTGCAGGCAGCTTCCATTTAGAGGAACTGCACTCATCTTCTTCGTAACTTCCTTTCCTCAAAACAGAATAACCACACACATCTCACACATCTCACACATCTCACACACACACATCTCACACA